TTTTTCATTGACTGGTTTTATGTATGATTTTTGTTTTCATCCAATATCAATTTGTTTATTTATCTGAATAAACTCCAATATCTCCAGTTTCTCACATCTAGTAAAATGAAGATGAAGTATTCGTCATTTCCGAATTTAACACTCCCAGATGTTCCTATGGGTGCATGTATGTTAATCTTATTAATCTCAGTTATTTCCCACATAGTCGATACTTTATCTTCAATTATAGGTTTGATACTGATTCATGGAATGATAAACATCACCTGCCTCTGTTTATCACCAACATTATCTAAAAACCGTCCTGCGGACGAAATTTATCAGTATCTGTATTCCTTACTTTGGTGGTCTATTGAATTTCTCTTTACTTACGGTTCCCCGTGCGACTACTAGAAGCTGTTGGTTTTTAGGCTATAGACTATAGCTTTGAGAAATTATTTCAGAATAGAATACTGTACCAGGAATTTTATGAGAAACAATAAAGATGAAACAAACAATATCCACTCAACAACCGTCTCCTGGATGTTAAAGAAACACTGCGTGGCTAAAACCCAGATTCGAACTCTGACCTTCAGACTGCTTAATTTCGCTTTAACCGATTGAGCTACCTTATCGACGAAAATGTCCTGGACCAGATGTTATACATGTATGTCTTATTGAACGTTAGGGGCAATACTGCATATAGGAACAACTACAGTGTGGCGGGACAGGGATCCGTAATTAAACTTGAGGTTGCCATTTGGAACATGATAACAAACGACTGAAATTAGACTATACATGTACCATGGCAAATATTGTCACTACTCTATCGTAGCAAATCTTAATAACAATGTTTTAATGATTGGATTACTATTTGAATGTTTTCATAACCTGATATGTAAAGAAAACATTATGCAAATAAATGAAATGTTGTGGTTGATCATATACAGTTTCCTCGATACTACCTTTAAAGTGACCTTAAAATCCACACAACAACGTAAACATTTAAATGTTGTATAAATATTATATTCACGTAACATTTTAACTTTTTTTTCTCATTTATTTCCGTTTACAATGCTTTCTAAATAAAGAACATAGCAATAACAAATAGTGTTTTGAATTCACAAACTTCAGACATTTTACGCACTTCCCCTTCTGTTTTAACAGTCGTTTATATCAATATAATTTATTTTCAACCTTTTTGACCCCTAGCATCACCAATGAGTTCTAGAAGGACGAAATATCGGTATTATGCTTTGTTGTACATGTTTGTCATACTGTATATATTTTAAAATATTTACATTCTGTATGCTTAGACCCATTGACAAAAATTACATTCATAAATGCATAACACAGGTGTTCATAGAATCTCAGCACGTGGGAACTGATAGTAACCTGATCACACTGCGTAGTAATACACTACAAAAACTACTCACTCGGAACGACCGACCTAGATGCTTAATTCTTACATCTTAAAATATTATTGAACTGTGCTTTGTGAAATATCCACGTATTCACGTGTCCTGTGCTACAAATAAACATTGAATATGGAACTACATTTTGTTGTGTTATTGTTGTTGACGGTTGCTAAGATCTCTCACGATAGTGTCACATTTCCCCGCGAAAAAACACTGTTCTCGCCACTGCGTTGCACCCGTGTATAAGCAGGAACAAACCCTGTTTATTTGTTTTATTCGTTGTTATATCGATCCACTGAAAGGATTCGTCAATGTAAATATAAGGAATGATATTTATTTTTTCAACATTTATGAGGTCATAACAACAATGGGTTTTTGGACATATTTTACATGAATCGCTAACGCGATTCATTCAATATGTCCTTAAACCCATTGTTGTTATGACCTCGTAAATGTTGAAAAAATAAAAATCATTCCTTAAATGTTATAGACGTAATCACAGGTGTGTGTCTTGCGTTCCTAATTAAAAACAAATATTATATGGATTAGTAAGAAACACATATTTAAAAGTTAGTTTATCAAAGCAGAAAGCCAAAAAAGGAAACACTTTAATAATTACACCATAAGGCCATTTCGTCCATGTAGGACTCATCAGGGGTACATGTACTAAAGGTAAAACGTGAAAAACATTATCTAAAGGATTCCGAAACATTTGAAAAATACAGCGAAAGTGAAAGATGCCTATTAAATCTTAAGTAAAAATATGACTTTGACTGAAACAGATGTCTAATTCTTAAAGTACAAGAAAACACCTATATACATGTAACGCTTAGTTTGTCGGTGCATTAAGCTAAACCATATTAACGTCTTGTTGCATATCTCAGATCATCAGAGGTAACAATTGTCCTAAGAATGAAAAAGCATGTCTAAAATGTTACGAAACATACACATAATACAGCAAAAGTTGAAATATGCCTACCAAATCCTTTTAATGATTGCCAATAAACAGGCTTTGCCTACAACAAATAATTCATTTTTAAATCAGGATTCATGTCGTCAGTCAGAATAATGTCCATTTACGAGGTTAAAGCCAACCGCAGGGACCTGATTGACACTCAGCAGAGTCAACCACTCTCTGAGGGTGACAGATAGATTCTCAGGGGGAAAATGTATCGAATATTGCACGTGTGACGTCAGAGAGTAATAGCTTTACAATTATGGTAATTCAAACTGTTTTGTCATGCCAACTTATTAATGTCATTATCATGTTGTAGTTATATGACCCGTCCGGATCACTTCGTTTTGACACTTGCTTTATTATTTCAAATTTAGTCCTTGTGCGTTTACGCTGTGGGATATTTTTTAACAGTTTTTGTTTTTGATATGTAATATTTCTTCTTTGTGTTAAAATCGTATATTTTGTTATAGAGAGTCAATATTTTTTCATATGTTGTTCCTGGTTCGACGTTTTCATATATTTGTCATTGCGTGTTAGTGCTGTGGAATATTTTTGTCGTTGTTTGTTAACGCTGTGGTATATTTCGTCATTGTTTTTTGACGCTGTGGTATATTTGTCGTTGTCTGTTGAAGATGTGGTATATTTTGTCTTTGTTTGTTGGCGCTTTGGTATTTTTTGTCGATGTTTGTTGACGATGTGGTATATTTTGTCGTTGTTGTTGACGCTGTGGTATATTTGTCGTTGTCTGTTGAAGATGTGTTATATTTTGTCGTTGTTTGTTGACGCTGTGGTATATTTTGTCATTGTTTTTTGACGCTGTGGTATATTTGTCGTTTTCTGTTGACGATGTGGTATATTTTGTCGTTGTTTGTTGACGCTGTGGTATATTTGTCGTTGTCTGTTGAAGATGTGTTATATTTTGTCGTTGTTTGTTGACGCTGTGGTATATTATGTCATTGTTTGTTGACACTGTGGTATATTTGTCGTTGTCTGTTGACGCTGTAGTATATTTTGTCGTTGTTTGTTGACGATGTGGTATGTCTTGCAATAGGATGTTGATATTGTGGTTTATTTTGTCGCTGTTTTTTGACGATGTGGTATATTTTGTCGTTGTTTGTTGACGATGTGACATATTTTGTTGTTGTCTGTTGACAATGTGGTATGTCTTGCAATAAGATGTTGATATTGTGGTTTATTTTGTCGCTGTTTGTTGACGATGTGGTATATTTTTCGTTGTCTATTGGCGATGTGGTATATTTTGTCGTTATTTGTTGACGATGTGGTATATTTTGTCGTTGTCTATTGACGATGTGGTATATTTTGTCGTTATTTGTTGACGATGTGGTATATTTTGCAGTAAAATGTTGAAATTGTGTAGTACTTTGTCCTTTTGTGTCGACACTGTGGTATATTGTTATGTTGTTTGTTGACAGTGAGATAGATTTTGCCATTTCATGTTGACGCTTTAGTGTCTTTTGCGTTTTTAATAGTTTGTTATTGTGCGGTAACGATGTCGCATAATTGTTATATTTTGCCTGTGGCGTTACAGATTGAAGGGCATGCCATGTTTCCAGAAGACTGCTCCATTCAAACAAGTTTGGTGCCACTTTCAAATCAATAAACAATAGCTATTGTCCCTTTAGCATTCCAAAAACGGTAAGTATAACCATTTTATCCGTAGCATGATCATTTGACGAACATAACGCCAGGAAATAAAGGGATATCCAGTTTCATGCGATTTTGTTGTAAATGCATGACAATTGATCCAGGGATTATGATATTAAGTTGTCATTCAAAATATTTTTAATGGTATTTGAACGGTTTAAATATTATTCTATCTTGTTATGAAATACACACAACATACTATAAGAAATATACGCTACTTGAATCTATACATTGATCTCCTTACTAGAGTTTACTCGGTTGTGTTGTACAACGTTGGTGCTTCATCGTCCGGACTCCCTGTAAGTTAGGAGGATAATTGGCCGGCGGTTCCGACAATATAATCGTAATATACGAGTAATGTTGGAAGACTCGCATAATCGGGGTTTTTCTTTGTCCTCTCTTTTTGGAATTTTTGCAGAATCGATATTCCGAGCCTATTTCAATACTTTGGATATGTGTTTCTTTCTATACTCTGCTTTCTTATTTTTATGGTGTCACGGTTTAGACGCATGAACTGTGGCAACTTAAATCTCTGAAGAAACAAAGCAATCAAATGCCTGTATGTTTCTTTGTTTAGTTACGTTTTTTGGTTATCTATATATATATATCAGTGATTACATCTAAATAAAAAAAAATGACATTATAAGTTTGGGATAGATTATATAAATGTATTATTGACTACATATTTAAACACGTACTGTAACATACATTACGTACTTATCTTTATATTGTCTAGTTGGCATTTATTTCATTGATTTTAATTGGCATTAAGTAAGGGTCCTTGTTAATCAAACAATTCTATTCGCCATTTCCTTTTTCAAATTTATAATATAATGTGTTTAAGTCCGAGGTCCGTTTTACCATTGTGTATTGTTATGCACAAGATAAAACATTCTTTAGGATAGTGTTAACAAACACGTTTGGCATTCCTTTTCTCCTTTGGGCGTAGTTTCCCGTAAACAGGAAATCACACTTTAGTAAATATGTCACAGAAAGCCTACGCCATTGTACCCCGACACCGCTGTCAGATTCAAAGTCTACGCCATGGTACCCCGACACCGCTGTCATATTCAAAGCCTATGCCATTGTACCCCGACACCCCTGTCAGATTCAAAGCCTACGCAATTGTACCCCGACACCGCTGTCATATTCAAAGTCTACGCCATTGTCCCCCGACCCCGCTGTCAGATTCAAAGCCTACCCCATTGTACCCCGACACAGCTGTCATATTCAAAGTATACGCCATTGTACCCCGACACCGATGTCAGATTCAAATTCTACGCCATTGTACCCCGACACAGCTGTCATATTCAAAGTCTACGCAATTGTACCCCGACACCGCTGTCAAATTCAAAGCCTACGCAATTGTACCCCGACACCGCTGTCAGATTCAAAGTCTACGCCATTGTACCCCGCCACCGCTGTCATATTCAAAGCCTCCGCCATTGTACCCCGACACCGCTCTCAGATTCAAAGCCTACGCCATTGTACCCCGACACCGCTGTCAGATTCAAAGCCTACGCAATTGTACCCCGACACCGCTGTAAGATTAAAAGCCTACTAGCATCGTTTGCCATCTTATTCTATTGTCATTTCGACATGTAATCTCCACCGCGATCCGTACACAGCCGTGTAGCCTGTATTTTATACAATGCCTTACTATCATTATGAAATGAACTCAACTATTCTTTTTATTTGATCTAAGCATCATGTACACTAAAGAAGATACGTTTTCCACATCCATTCATTATGACGAACTCATGAAAGTCTGATTCGAGAATGGGCCAAATCGAGATATATTCATATGCTTCTATGGCCGCCATTTTGTTAAACAGGCACACACTACAGTGATTCAGGGCGAGCGGGGAGGTGTATTGATAAAACCGTCGTAGACTACAGCGCCGGACGTGTTCAGACACAAGTCGTACTAGTAACGATATAAACGCCAATCCACTCATGTTGTTAGCTAGGCGTTGTTCCTCCTTATTACATGCCCCGAAACAGACGGGCAATGATACATTTTCACGCATTAAATTTCAAAATCATAAATGTTCAGGTTTTCAGAATTTAACATATATTGGCGTTTATTATTGTATCGTTATTGGTTGAATAAATCGCGTATAATACAGTAATACATATATGATGAAACAGTTAAAGTATACAGACGGCCTGTTATCAACGAGTGTGTATGCATATGTGTATTTAACATTATACACCAGGCGATATCAACGTACGTAGTGTTTAGTGCTGTACTACACAAATTGTCGGTATTAGGTAAAGGCCAAAAACCCAACGTGGCATGACGCTTCCCGCTCTTAAGCTGTCCCTCGCTAACCTTACCTGAACAACGCGTAAGAACGGTTTACCTGGTTGTGTTTCGCGAAAGACTTTACATGTATCATATAAAGGTCTTTCCAGACACAGGTTGAATAAAATAAAGGTTCAAATACAGATTGGAAGAAATACAAAACACGAGAAAGTCTTAACGCAATTCACGCGGGATTAAAATGTATTTTGTAAGAAGATAGTGGGCACGTGACAATATGTTACCAGTGATAAATACATATAGCTTTTTATAATTCTTAAGTGTTCTTATGGGTTGTGTATATATTGCTGTTTTGGCAAATTAATAAATTAAACATTAAATCGTTATGTGTAAATGACGCTTTATTCATGTATACATGTTTAAACAATAAAGCATGACTTGGTTTTTATTAAACAATAGTGCTTGTAAAATGTTAGATACCGTCTATTTACCTATTTATACACAATAACAACATTGATTTCTGTGATATCGTACAAATTATCAAACAATATACTGAACATACACCCGTCTTAGTCAGGCGTTAGAAATAAAAGGTCGTTACCGAACTAGAGGTCATTGGGTGCGTACCTCTAAGACAAACATATCCACATGGTACACGTGCGTCTGGCATATTTACAGGTAAACGATATAAATATCAAACATAAGGTCTGTTTTCGAACCTCAAATCTGAGGCGTAACAATAAATTTGTTTACGGTCAGGGTAAAGCTCAATGAACCATCAGGCATGGTAAACTAGACAGTACGCTGGTTATAGCTTTATATACTTAAAGACATGCTACATTTGGTTGTGAACATGATATGGCTATATATGCAATCAGATACGGATCCGACACAGCACATAATGTAAACTTGTTTTAACGCGATGGAACACAAGACACGGAAAACGAGATTGTAATCCTGTTATAACTCAATATACCATCAGACACTGGTAGACAATAAAGTAAACTTATATATACAAACAGACCCGGGACATTATAAAGCAAACTTGTTATACCTCATATACCATCAGACACTGGTAGACAATAAAGTAAACTTATATATACAAACAGACACGGGACATTATAAAGCAAACTTATCATAACTCAATATACAAACAGACACGGGACATTATAAAGCAAACTTATTATAACTCAATATACAAACAGACACGGGACATTATAAGGTAAACTTGTTATAACTCAATATACCATCAGACACGGGACATTATAAGGCAAACTTATTATAACTCAATATATAAACAGACACGGGACATTATAAGGTAAACTTGTTATAACTCCATATACCATCAGACACTTGTACATACTAAACTAAACTTGTTATAACTCAATATATAAACAGACACGGGACATTATAAGGCAAACTTATTATAACTCAATATACCATCAGACACTTGTACATAATAAATTAAACTTGTTATAACTCAATATATAAACAGACACGGGACAATATAAAGAAAACTTATTTAACTCAATAAACTATCTGACAATCACAGATTATAAACTTGTTATAACTTAATATATTGCCAGACACTGGCACATTATAAGGTAAACGTGTTATAACTCAATATACCATCAGACACGACATATTATACAGTATACATGTTTTAATTCAATATACCATCCGAATTACTAATACTTATTAGATTGTTATCACGTTATTGCCTTTTATACCATCCAAAACATTACATTATATAGTTTACATGTTATAATTCAATATATTATTGATAGGCTACATTAGATTAATAGCAGGTTATTGCTCAATATACCATCAGAGACATAACAATGTAACGTTATACATATTATAACTCAATATACTATCAGACACGCTTCATTATGATAGTACCAGTATACATGTTATGACATATGATATTTTCAGACATGTTATAGCACAATATATTTTAAACATGCTAAATTAAATTGATGTTGCACTTAATGAGATCAATTATATAATGGCTGCCAATTTTTTTTATCGATTTCAGTTATTATCCACTTATTATTAAAATAAAAACAAATATAACATATATTTAAAATTCGATGTAATTTCATTCAATCATGCGAATTCATAAATTCTATAAAATTGTTTCTTGAAAACTTACCAATCTATCTTAAATTTGATCACCGAGATTTTATTCGAACTTTAATCAGAGAACTATAGCAAGAAAGTCCAAGGACTGTATGAAAAAGATGCAAAGTTGAAAGATGTCATATTTGATGTTTTGCAGTCAAATATATTGAAGTGAAGACAAAATATGGATAACGTCTAATGTACTTCATATTATTTCGAAGTCAAAAAGCAAAACGGCAAACACATTCATGAATATCAGACGTTTTCATAAATATAGGTTGCAATTATGCTCAAAGTTTATTCATGGTTGGCTAAGTGAAAGTGTGTGAGCGTCAAATTCACATATCAAGCTGAAATGCCATTATTGATTATTAAATATTTTTAGAAAGCTTAAAGTGCTGTTTAAAACCATACATACATAACAAAGCAATTTAGATACAGCCATTGTTGTTTTGTGGTCGGGAAATGAAATTAATAATTCATCTCACTTTCAGAATGCTCGTTAACCAGCTGTATGACATTGCGATTTGGGATCAAATTTTCGTATTATGTCAGTTTAATCCTGATGAGATGCAAATGTTTTTCGTATTGAGTTATTATACGAGCTTTATTTAGACCCAATCCTACAGGTATTCAAGTTCTTACGTGTATTTATAATGTCTTTTACTATATACAGCGCATAAAGTTATTACGAAATAAAAGGGGGAAAAATATCAGATAACTTGCAAATAAAATTATGCGTCTTACGATCAAGATTTGAAAAAAAAATCAGCAAGGATTATACAGCCTACACAAAAGAGCACGGTTTAAAAACGTACATCAGTATGTCGATATGTGTCGTAGGAGGCCTGACTTGCGAATGTACAGAAGAAAGGCAGAATATGCCTTCGGATCAAAACTTAAAAACATACAACATGGAGTTTGGGCGTGTCCAAGCAGCTCATACGAAATAATCATTTTACAGCACCGTGTGGTCATTTCGTCCATGTAGGACTCAGCAATGGTACAAAAGGTCTAATGAATTAAAAATGTTGTTTGTTAACTGTTTCAAAATATGTGCAGAATTAATGGTAAAGGAAACACACATAATAAACCATATAAACCTTAACCAATTAACACATTTTGATGCAAGAGATAATTAACACTTTTAACAACTATTTCAGGTAAGCCATACCAGAAAAAAATCCAGCTCCAAGGTAACGGCCAACCTCGGGCATTGACAGTCCACCTGCAGAGTCAACCATATTGTCGTATATCATAAGGAGAATTAAACACTTATTTCAAAATGTATTATGTCAATGCAAAAAGCAAACAAAATAGACATTTTTACTGCACCGTATGACCCTTTCTAAATCACGATTAACATCAAATGAGTGGAGCATGTCCGACACATCACACACAAGTATATACCGTTATAAGTTTTTCTTTTAATGCGGAAGTCTGATAAAAGAGAGTAAAGGAATCTATGTGTATTCGGGCTACTCAGAATACTCTAAAAGACCCTTGCTAGGAAAATATGAACTGCTACCTACATACGATGTGCTTTTAAATAATCCTTGACCCTCGGTAATGTTATCGGTAACTCTCAGTAAACAAATTTCTTTATCGTGTGCTAAACATGAGAAAAGATTTTCAGAAAGGTTCTTGAAGGTTCAATTATGGTCACAGGTTCACAGCAAACACATCTAGAGCGTTCTTGTTCTAGAATATACCATATCTGGTTGTAGCAGGGGAACATCAATGTTTTTTATCATTAGTAACTACTTTTTCAAATGCTATTTACAATATTGACCATTGCTGAGAGACTTGTTGCATGTGACCAGTCATTTTTTGACAAGTAGAGACGTAAGGGAGTGCAACAAGGGTATAGGACTTAACTGTACCTGTTGTGCTAATCTAAAACAGCTATACTGGAAAAATAGAATTTTGCCTTAATAATCTTTATATTATCAAGCCTATCTCAAGTTACCACATTGATAACCTCATATAGAAAGCGTTAGATGCGTCTTTTTAGTATGCTTTTGTCAATAATCCTAAAACTAAGAAATGTGCGCACGCATCTTGAATTGATTTCTGTTTGTTGTGTTTACTCTCGTTTGGTGTTTCGTGTATCATGTATAGCTATTACTAAAAGCAAATATTTATATCTTTAAAGTA